GGAAAGAGCACGCGACCACCATCAGGTTGACCTGCAGCTTGGCCACTTGCAACTTCTTCCAACGCTCCCTGCAGCGCGGGCTGGTGCACGGAGGGGCGCCGATGGTCCACGGGTAGGGCGGCGCCATCGGGAACAACTTCAAGCAGGTACGCGTCGGGGAGTCCGACGGGGCACCGGAGAACTGCATGCACGAATACAAAAAGTAGCCCAGCCTGGTCCTGGACCTGAGGAGGCGGCGCACCATGCCGATCTGCGCCCGCGGGACCCCGGCCTCGAGGTCCGCCAGCAAGCCGGCCTCGCCGGCTACGCCCCCTCCTTGGCGCCGCCTCCGCGCCCGCCCTTGGGCGCGCCCTTCGGCGGCTTGTGCTCCTCGTCGTCCCTCTTGCCGCCCCCGCGGTCGTCGTTGAACTTCCTCCTGATCTCCGCCAGGGACGCGGCGTCCTTCGTGTAGGCCATCGCCGCCGTCGACCACGTAGCGTCCGCCAGGTACCCGAACGGCCGCAGGCTGTCGACGCTCCCGCCCGTGCCGGCCGCCATCTGCGCCCACGGGGGCTCTGGCAAATGCGTGAGCAGCCACGCGAGCTGCCAGCGCCCGTTGTCCCGCTGGGCCTGCTCCAGCGCCGTCAACAGCAGCAGTACGAGCGCCTCCGCCATCTCGTGTTGGCCCCGTGCCATGAGGTCGGCCACTCGCGCGATGCCGAACCCGAGGTAGGCGGCCGTCCTGTTGCCCCGATTGATCGTCCCGGTGCGCACCACGAACTCCACCATGCTGCGCACCCTCGGGTCGGGGTCGTCCGAGGTCCCCGCCAGCGCCAGCTCCGCGTTCCCCCTGATGAGAGCCGTCCAGGCCGCCGGCCGCGCCTGCAGGTCGCGCCGCAGCATCTCCATGCTGGCGGCGCCGCGGGCCCCGGGCATCTTGCCAGCAGCGGCGGACCCATCGTCGAGGCCCGGCTGCAGAAGCCCGGCCAGCGCGGCGGGCACGGCGCCAGCAGGCATCCGCTGCAGCTCTGCCACGGCAGCCCAGTGCGCCGCCAGCTCGGCCGGCGACGCGCCCGCGGGCGGCGGCGCCGCGGCGGCGGCTGCTCCTGCCGGCGCGCCAGCGGGTGCTGCAACGCCGGCCTGGCACCACGCCACGATGCCCTCCGGCGACCTGCGCACCTCGCCCTCCGAGACGTCGGCAAACGGGACGCCGTGGTGGCGGGCGAAGTTGGCCCTGGCCTGCACCACCTGCGACGCGTTGAGGGGGAAGCCCGTTCCTGCCGCCGGCGCAGCTGCCGGGCCCGCGGCCCTCGCAAGGGCGGCGGCACCTCCGCCGCGCGCCGGGGCCCCAGCTGGCGGAGCGCCAGCCACGCCGATCGGCTGCCCGAATCGCGCCAGCGGAGGCGCCCCCGCCGTGTGCAGGGCCCAGTCCACGGCGGCGCGCTCGGCGGCGGCACCTCCCGACGGCCCCAGCACCTGCGGATGCGGCGGGCCAGCGGGCGCGGCGGCACTGGGCGGCGGCGCCTCGAAAGGCGGCGGCAGGGGGGGCTCTCCACGGCCCGCGCTCTCCAGCACCGACACGCGCCGCAGCACCTCCTGGTTGGACTCCGCCAGCCTCTCCAACGTCGCGGCCAGCGAGGCGACGGTGGTGCGACCCTGGCCCGCTGCCGCTCGCGAGCGGGCGGGGCCACGACGGCCCTCGGGGAGGCCGCCCGACTCCTCGTCGGCCGAGTCGCCCAGCTCGATCGCGCCCCCGGCGTTGCCGCGCCCGCCTCGCCCGCGGCCGCCACCAGCGGCCGGGCGCCCAGGCGCCGGAGCCAGCCGGCGTGCGGCGGCGACGGCGGCGTGCTGCAGGCGGACGGCCTGCGGGCCCGCGGCGTCGCCAGCACCGACGGCGGCCGCCCGCGGCGGCGACGGAGGTGGCGGATGCCAGGGCTCCCAGGGGCCTTCCGCGGCGCCCGCGGCGGCGCTGCCAGGAGGCGGGGTCGCGACGCGCGGCAGCGCCTGCCCGTCGGGCCCGACCAGCTGGTCTTCGTCGCCCGGCTCGGGCTCGGGAGGGGGCCAGCGCAAGCGCAGCAGCCCTCGCCACGGGCCGAGCCCCAGCGCGCCGCCCAGCACCGTGTCGAGCGCCTCCGGGCTCAGGGCGTGGGGCGCCGGGGCGAGGGCACTGGAGTAGTCCCTGTCTGGACTGATCTCGTGGTCCTCCACGGTCGCGGGCAAGGCTTCGGCCAGCTGCACCACCGCGCGCGCTGCCGGCCAGCGCCCGTCCCCCGCCCACTGGCTGCCGTCGGAGGCCGGCTCCATCCAGGCCCCGCCCTCTGAGCTGATCCGCACCAGGGCCACCGTCGCCATCTGGCCGTCGGTCGCGGGCAGGAAGTGGACGGGGTCGCCCAGGGCCGCGAAGTGCGGGCTGAGCCAGGGGCACACCGCGGCCGGGATGGCGATAGTCAACACGCCTCCCCTCTTGCGGACGGGCACGATCGGCACGGAGATGCCCATGCCGCCCGCATCCAGCCCTGGATGCACCGTGGTGACGTCTACCTGCAGCGGCATGTAGTCGTCCGTCAGCTCGGCCACGCGCAGCTCCCACTCGTACTCCTCGGCGCTGGCGGGCTCCGCGCCGCCCAGCACGGCCGTCATCAGGCCGAGCGTCGGGGCTCGAGCGCGTCGAAGAGCGGCGTCGGCGACGGGGCTCCGTGCCGGGCCGCCTCGCGCTCGTAGCCGGCGACTGCCTCGGCCTCGTCGGCGAAGCGCCGCAGACGCACGCCTGAGGCGTACGAGTAGCGGCCTCCAGGCAGCGTCTTCGCCAGCGCCCGCCACGCCTCGCCGCCTCCGCAGTGCACCCCGCGCAGCTCCGGCCGCAGCGGGTGCTGCCACACCGCGTAGGCCCAGCGCTCGGTCCGCGCGGCCCGCGGAGGAGCCGGTCGGGCGGCGCGCTTCGCCGCCGGGGCCGCCGCGCCCGCTGCGGGCGCCTCCTTGGCCGGCGCTGCGCCGGCCCCGCAAGGGATGTCCTCGGCCGGGGGGGCGCAGGCCGCGCCCGGCGCCGCGAAGGCCGCGCGCGAGGCGTCAGCGGCGGCCGCGACGGCAGCCTCCGCGGCTGCGCGCCCGGCCTGCGCTGCGTCCACGCCGCTGCCGACGTGCACGTGGACCTCCACGTGCTGCTGCACGACGACGCCGGGCCCCGGCGCCGCCAGATCCGCCGCGCCCGCAGCGCGGCGCTGGGGGCAGCGGCCAACCAGCCGCCCCCACCAGCCAGGAGCGCCACCGCCAGCCGCCGTCGCGATGGCGGCGGAGGGGCGCGCGCGCTGCACGCAGCGCCCGCGCGCGAGGAGGCCGCGGCCCGAGCGCGCTCGAACCGTGACGGCTGAGGCCATTGCTCCCGTCCTGAAGCCTACGAGTCAAGCCGGGGGGAGGGAAAACATCCCCCCCCCCCCAAAAAAAAACAGGACCCCCCAAATCCGTGGCCCGGGGGGGGGCCCTGGACGCCCCTGCAGAAGGTCCTTCGGGTTTTCCAGAGCTCCTGCAAGCCCCTGCCCGGCCTAGGCAGCAGACCCAAGTCGGTCAGAAGGGCGGCCAAACGGCGCCCCGCGGGCCCCAAGAGACCCCAGACACCCACCAGACGCTCAAAGACGACCCAAAAAAGACCCCAGATATGCTTTCGAACCAGAGAAAAAATGCCCATTGGTTATTGCATGATTTGGGGAATGCTCTGTTCTTCGGACTTCCAGGCGTCCGAGACCTCCCAGGAGGCCCGAAAATCGCTCCAAAACTACCCGGAAGGACTTCAAGGCAGTCCAAGACAGCGCCAAGACGGCCCAACGGGGCCCCAAGTTGGCCCCCCGAGGCATTCCAGATCGTAACCCAGTCGTTCAAAGAGAGCGCAGTTGGAAGCAGGGTGGCCCGAGGAAGCCCCCAGAGGCCCCCAGAGGGCGCTCAGGAGACCTCCAGAGGATCCAAGAAGGCCTTACACGCTGTGGCGAGGCCCCCAAGGCTCTCCGCAGGAGGAGCCTCCGCAAAAACGGGCCGAGCAGGATGGAGAACAAATCGCAGGGTAGGGCGAGGTTGAGGAAGAGGAAGCACGAGGGAAGGGCAACGAATGGCAGACTTGCAACAGCGATGTCGGACAAGGCAGCAAGGAGTTATCGCGAAGTGCTATGCCCTTCCACCTCCATACCAAGCTTCAAAAACCAGCATGCATGGCGCGAAGCGCCAATACTATCTTGTGGGCTTACGTAAGCAATCAACTGTACACAAACATCTGTATATGAGTGTGTGTATATTGTGTGAATTGTGTGTGATGTGTGTCGTATGTGTGTGTTGTGTGTTGTGTGTTGTGCGTGTGTGTGTGTGTGTGCGTGTGCGTGTGCGTGTGCGTGTGCGTGTGTGCGTGTGCGTGTGCGTGTGCGTGTGCGTGTGCGTGTGTGCGTGTGTGCGTGTGCGTGTGCGTTTGCGTGTGCGTGTGTGTGTGCGTGTGCGTGTGCGTGTGCGTGTGTGTGTGTGTGTGTGTGCGTGTGCAAGTGCGCGTGCGAGTGTGCGTGTGAGTGTGCGTGTGTGTGCGTGTGCGTGTGCGTGTGCGTAAGGGTGTGCATGTGCGTGTGCGTGTGCGTGTGCGTGTGCGTGTGCGCGTGTGCGTGTGCGCGTGTGCGTGTGCGCGTGTGCGTGTGCGTGTGCGTGTGCGTGTGCGTGTGCGTGTAGGTGTGCGTGCGTGCGTGCGTGCGTGCGTGTTGTGTGTTGTGTGTTGTGTGCCGTGTGTTGTGTGTTGTGTGTTGTGTGTTGTGTGTTGTGTGTTGCGTGCTGTGTGATGTGTGTTGTGTGTTGTGCGTGTGTGCGTGTGTGTTGTGCGTGTGTGTGGGTGTGCGTCGCCCCTCCTCTCCCCATGCTGCGTGGGCGAACTAGTGGCTTCCAGCAGCTCGCTGAGCACAAAAGCCGACAGGACGGAGGGAGATATAGCCTGGACCCCGCTCCCCAAGAGCTTATGCCTTCACTCCTCCTCGGTCGCTTCGAAGGCATCGACCAGTCTC